AATACTGGAATCAAATTTAGGGATGGGTTTATTAAGCATGCACGATACCCTGCATCTTATAAACCCTGTTATAATAATCTATATGAACAATATGCAATTGAGCGATTAGGAAGAGACGACCATAGATATGAAAAAGCGTATGTTTATTATTAATAATATTGTTATTATTATTGAAATATTTATTTGATAATTTTTTTAATTTATTTATTTTTCAGCGAATGGGAGGCTATAGGAGCAAAACGATCTGTTTTCTCCAACCCTAAATTGAATTCCAGTGAACATTTGGAAAATTGCAGAACTCGCTTGAATTTTGGAAACTCAAGAAACATAACCACTCCAAACTGAAGAAGTAGAAACAAGGATTTGCAGTATTCAAGTTTTTTTATATATTCGTTTTATTATAAAATTATAAAATCAAAAATAATATCACTAACCTTACTAACATAAACTTATTTTAAAAACATATTAATTATCTACTAACATGTTCATATTTTTCAGTAAAAGATTGATAGTACCAGCCAAATAAATTTCCATTATGCTCATTTCATGAGAATTTACTAATTCTCTTTCACAATTTCTATTTTATAGGATTTTAACAACCAACGATATATGAAATTGAATATTATGAAGCAAATGATGAATTATTTATAATATAAAATGATCATTATTTGAGATCTTTATTCTGATGCTTCAAACTTTTTTGAAATTATCAAGGCAATTAAATTTGACAATTATTTGAATTTTTTTCAAATCTATCTAAGGTTGATAAAAAATAAATTCTTCCTCGAAGAATTAAATGAAATTCATTTTACATTTTATTATTTTATATTAAAAATCATATATAATATGCTACGAACAATCTATAAATTTCAATTAGTTATAATATTTATAACTAGGAGAAAATAAAAATTGACTCAATAGATATTTTATTTACAATCTGAGTTCATTCAATATAAGTGTAAGAGATACAATTTTTTACTATTTTCATTTAACACATTATTCAGACTAATTTCTTGGAAAGTGTCCACCAATAACACGAATATGCTTAGAGAGACTGATGCAGAAGTTAAAGTAAAATGTATACTATTCCCTATATGATGTTTCAGAACAATATAAAAGATAATATTGCCCTATCTTGACGATTTTAACCTTCAAGATTGTAAAATTTAAGGAATCTGTGACAAATTAAAATTATTAGATCTTTACTACTCATACCACAATGAGCGCGAAAAGGTTTATTGGCAAACTGACCAAGATGGCTAATGCAAAACAGATTTCAGTTAGTGGTGTGGTGTCAAAAAAAAACCCTAAGTTGCACAACGTAATATAATTTATGATCTATGATTTATGACAACATAGTTACGTAGGTAAAAAAGTCTGGTTAACGAACACGATTTTTTTACTCTTTCAAAGATTGACAATTATTATTTAAGGTACATCTCGATAAGAAAAATCCAAATTAGGAAAAAAAATATTTTTTATTTTTTAAAAAAAAAGACAAATAAATGAAGGTAAAAATCTAATAATTATTCTATATAAATTATTATTTTTTCCCGATGATGATGATGTCAACTTTTTCATCAATTTCAAAAAAATTTTGCATTTTTAGGATCCCACATATTCAATAATAAATTTTTCATGATTCCTGATCAACGTGAGAAGAAAAGCCGCAACCGAAGCAAATATGCCTTCATTTTGGTATTTCTCATGGCACTTTAGTAAGTGCATTCCGCATTAACCATTAGGTTGATAATGGAAAATGATAAGATGCTTGTTTAATTCACTCATTCTTCTTAATACATCATCATTAAATACTCCACCAGTGGATAATCCTATTAAAGCGGTAGGTTTCATATTGTCGATTACTTCTAATAATGATTTATATTGTTTACCATAATTTTCAGATCTGGCAAAGTATACTCAGTGTTTGGCTAATGTCTCTCCTCGGTCTAATGTTATGAGACCCTAAACATTACGAAAAATAAATTGTGAATAAATTGTGGAATAAATTATAAATAAATAAATTGGGAGAATCAATTGTGAATAAATAGAATAAATTGCAAATAAATAAATCGTGGAATAAATTGACATGAATGAATTATGAGATATTGACAATGTCAATAATGAATACCTTAGTATTAACGAACCAGAACAATTTTGTAAAGCATTCCAATAAATGTCTAGCGACATCAACTTCTGCCGACCGATCCTAATTAAAACCGATATGGTGATCAATAATTTAAAAAATCTTTTTAATTAATTATTAGTAATTATAAATATTTTATTAATAATATAATTAATTAATCATAATCAATTTTCATATATGAAAAGGAAATTATTTTTAGAAGATTCTTAAATATCCGATTTATTTAAATAAGTTCTAGAAGTTCTCACCTTCTGTTCCTAATCGCTGGTTTATTATTAAAATTTTTTAAAATTATTAAACACGAAGATGAAAACGGTAAAATAAGTTTAGTAATTTAATTGTACCATTTAATTTCGCAATATATACGTCTTCTCCCAATATGAAAATAGGTTGCATTCTTCCCGAAAATGAAATAAGTAATTAATTCTTCGATTTATACAAAAGAATATTTTTTGTTTGCTCAAGTGCATTCCCTAAAAACTCGAATTCTACAGATACAGAGCAGAAACGTTATTATTATTAATTAAATAATTTACCAATTTTAATAGCTCTCAGAAACTTTGTCGCGTTATAATACTCTGACATTATTTAACATATCATATCGAAATTTAACCAGAATAATATCAACCAGTACTCCAAGATGATGTGTTACTAACAGTTGGCCAAAGAGATATTACTAGAAGTAATAATATATATTTTTAGAAATAATGATAACAAAAATGTTAATATCGAAGAAGGTGAAACTGAAAGTTTTAGCTGGGTAAGTTCTATCCGTAACTGGTTTTATAATTCAAAGTGTAGTGTAATCTGTCACTAGTAAAAATTGGAATGATGATGGTAATTTCATTTTTCTTATATAAAGCAAATAATTGTTAACTAGTGAATTTGATTTTAACTTGTATGAATGGAAAATTCCTAACTTCGATTGATAAATATAATTACATGATATTATCTCCAAAATCTAAGGAAATTACTTTTTATATCATTTATAAAAATTTATTCAACTTTCCAAAGTGTATTTGTAATAGTGTTTTATTTCCCGGGATTATTATGATTGATGATCACGATGGTAATAATGTTAATTAACGAAACCTTCTTTTAGGTTCTTCCGAATCATATACAACTTCTAAGGCATGTCATGTTCGTACAAAACGACCACTTGGTTTTTATCTTCGACCATGGAAATATATTCTATGTGATCTTTCCATAATCTATCAAAATATAAATTAAATAATTAATTGGTATAATATCAAGTAGTATAAAAAATAATATATGTATCTATCCAACTTGCCAATAGCTGCCTTTTTAAATTGACAGGCTTGTCCATAAGCCATTCTAGATGCACTTTGATATTGATGGTTTGTATTGGTATTTTGCATCTTGTTTTTCGATTATGATGCAAAGGTCGAGGAGGGAATAGTTGTTGACGGAAAGCTACGTTACAAATAGAAAGAAATAATGATAATAGGGAAAAATAAGAAAAAGAATATATGAAAAAAAAGTCTTAATTATGAATTAATTTAATAGATTTTGCATTTGTAGACTTGACGAGTCTATTCCAAGCCTCTGTCGTGCTCTATTTACATATATAGTATAGTTGAGTTACAATTAAACCTTAATATTTGACGTCTCTTCATTAAACTGCAAGAAGGCAATCAGCATTCTATTAATAAATAAATAAATTAATATTTGAAAAAGGGTGAGTAAATTGATTAAACGTAAGCATTTTTTAAAAAAAATTTCAAATACGATCATATTGTCGCCGTCTGCGCAGAACAAAGTGGAAAGTCAAGCCAATCAGTCTCAATAAATTTAGGATGATCACACAATAATTCAATGTATTATTAACACTCTTTTTCTCGTGCGCAATATCTCGGAACACAGCAAGACAGGCAATCAGTCGATCTAAACCTGATTACTAACACTTACAAACAACAATGCAATTACGTGTATGATCTGAAGGTGCGATGAGCAAGTGGAGTAAAAGCATCTTCACTACTTATTCGTACACTGCTGAAATTTAATAGACTTTTGGAGTAACTTGCCAGGAAATATAGAACAAGATTTATTAAAATTTATTAAAAGAATAGGTCAATAGAGATATATTACTGCGTTGGCGTATCTTATCCCTATTGCTATTCCAATACACGAGATTATTATTAAAATTGAAAATTAAAATTAAAATTTAAAACTATTCTAAAATTATTTGATACTATTTCGAAACTAGTTGTATTTATTAACAGGAAAATTGTTAAAAATTATTTATTATTATTAAGACTTATTTATTAAAATTATTAAGGGAATTCGGTAAAATATTATATGAATTAAAAGTTTTCGCGAGAAGTGGAACCTCTCTCTTTTTCTCCTTTTTCCGCTGGTTACTTTTATACCTTCCAATTTGTTTTCCTTTTCTTTTTGTTGTCACTTCCAAACACGTTTTCCCCTTTTTCCCGAGGATGACACACAAGGATGAAAGATGCTGTGACAAGGCGGAGAAATCTGTCATCTAGATGGTAGCACGTAAATATAGTAAAATCTAAGATGTAATTATGATTTGTCAAACTTGTGATTGCCATCGTATTACGAAATTCTGGATGAAATTGATCCATTATCTTGACATAAGTTATCCATTTTATTGCCTTATTAAAATCTGCGAAAAAATTAAGTTAAATTGTCTTTATTAACGTTTTACATGTAAATCTAATGTGGAATCGAATAACAAGTTTTTTAAAATAAAAAAATCATAAAAATCGTTGCCTAGATATTTGTGTTGATTACTATTATTATCTTTAATCATAGCAGTAAAATTAATTCTATTCAATAATCTTTAAAATATAGCGTCTCTTTTTCATTATCCTAATTTTCGTAAATATTTCAATTCATTTTCTTTATATGCAATTAAATTAGTCTCTTTCATGATAGAATTAATTAATACTATTCTATAAATATACAGTATTTAAATATTTAAATAATTAAATTATGAAGTAATTATTTCAATAATTCTTTCCCTTGCGCAAGATAATGCCGATACCCGAATTAAAATTATCATTTTATCTTTTAGTATACATGATTTCGATCAAATTGTCTTCTATTGTCACCTAAAACTTATCAGTTAATTTAACGATGCTTTCCTAGTAGTACTTAAAGCAGATATCTAGCAGCAGCTTTCCTATATAATTACATTAAATAATTATATTAGAATACATATTACAGTACTCTGACATTATTTAACATATCATATCAGGTGTAGAAATCAATTGAGCATTTTCTCTATATAAAAAAGAAGCAAATATCAATAAAAACTAAACGTTCATGTCAATCTAAACTAACATAAAGACAATTGTTGATAAAAAAAATCGATGATCTAATCCTAATCCAGCAGTTTATTTTATATTAAAAGTATTTATCGAGAATTGGAAGAAAAACTTCTAAAATCATTAAATGAACTTATTGAATTGCCTTTTTGGGAAAGTATGTAGGCTTTTTCTGTTAAGAGACTAAAATTAAAAATTCTATAAATTTATTAAAACGCATTCATTATTTGTAGCATAAAAAAAATTGTGAAATTAACTATCATTATTATAATTATAATGTGAGATACGTAGAGCTTACAAAATCTTTTAATTATTCGAATCTACATCATAAATCATCTTTCAATTAAATTTTCATGAATCAATCTTTCTTTACTATTTATTCATTGATTCCTTCCTTCTCATTAGTTATCAATGAATTAAAAAATTGAAAATTAAATAAATAGTTTTATAAAAATGAATGTTACTTTATTTCTTTATCATTAAATAAAATATAAATTAAAAATCAAAAAATGAAACCGAAATAAAAAAATGGGAAAACGTGACAATCAGAATCACGGATCGTAAGGATCAACGACCACGTAAATATGAATAATCAGAATCACGGGATTGCAGGATCAGGATCAACGATCACGTAAATATAAATAACAATAAACAAAATAAACAAACGAAAACTTCTCTCTTAAACCTTTGATAAATTTAAAAAACCTTATACAAAGTTACTTTAGTTAGTTTAGCTTGGAAAATGCCGTTGGATAGATATAACCGCCACTTTACTCATTCCGTTTCGCCTTATTACCGTCGCCAATCTTCTGTTCCTTCTGGTGCTGCTTCTCCCGCTTATACTTTATCTTTTGCTTCCGCTTCTAACACTGCTTCTTTTGTTCCTTCTATTAATACTAATTATTATTATTGTTCTTATTATTACGACCCTTCTTATTCCTATGCTATTCCTGATTTTGTTGACTCTCCATATTTTACTCCTTCTACTTATGTTTCTCCTGCTTCTTCTATTGCTTTGCCTAGTTCTTCTTCTATTACTTCTATTTCGCCTACTTATTTTTCACCTGCTTCTTCTACTGCTTTATTAACTGCTGCTTCTTCTATTACTTTGTCCACTTCTTCTTCTATTACTACTATTTCGCCTACTTATGTTTCTCCTGCTTCTTCTACTGCTTTATTAACTGCTACTTCTTCCACTACTACTACTTCTTCTTTAACTCCTTCTTATGCTTTAGTTCCTTCTTATGCTTTAGTTTCTACTAATACTTCTTCTGCTGTTCCTGTTGCCACTAACTTTGCTAATTCTGTTAATTCTTCTTCAACTACTACTACCACTACTAACTCTACTATTCCTTCTACATTTTTTGCTACTAATAATTTAAATACTTCTTCTTCCACACAAGCTAGCCCCATGAGTTCCAGAGAAAGTAGTGTGGCTCTTGGTGACAGGTAATATATGATTTATAACACATTAATAAGATTGATTATTTTGTATATTAAATTTAATAATCATTATTATTATATTAAAATAGAGTGTCACACTATGACTCCACCTCTGCCATATCAAGACATGATGCATTAAAATCTGTCTTGACCTCTCCTGATATTGAGTTCTATCCTCCTCAGGTTGTCAATAGAGCCCAATTATCTGTAATTAGATACTGTATGTAAAAATATTTATTATTTTCATTAATTTAGAATAATAATTATTTGAAATAAATATTTATTAAAATTATTTATTATAATAGAACGATAAATAAATAACAGATATACTCCTTACATTAGTTCGGGCTTGAATGAAAGGTATGAAATTTTATTAAAATTGATAAATTTAGATTTATTTTCCAGAAGTATAAATATATTTCTTAGATGTTTCAGATATTCTTTGTAAGTTTTCGAATATATGATAATATCATCGATATATACTAATATAAACTTCCAAGTAACCTCATGGAAAACTCTATCCATTACTTTCTAAAAGGTTGCAAGGGCATTGATAAGTCTGAAAGGTATTACAAGGAACTCATAAGTATCAAATGGAGTAATGAAAGCAGTTTTCTCTTGGTCTTTAGTAGATACTTCAATTTGCCAGAAACCTGAAGCAAGATCTAAAGTTGAAAAGAAGGTGAAATGTTCCAAGACATTCAACATGTCTACTATTTGTGATACTGGATAGGTGTCAGGTTTCGTAACTGCATTTAATTTTCTGTAATCTATACAGAGTCTGTATTTCCCATTCTTTTTATTCACCATGACTTATACCTGCCACCCAAATTCAAAATCCAAATGCCAAAATCCCAAATCCCAAATTCCAAATTATGATTAGTATTTTTTGCTGAAATCCCAAATCCCAAATCCCAAATACTAGTAATTTGGGATTTGGGCAACACATATACCACGACTATAGGCACAGATCAAGGACTGAATGAATTTCGAATTAATCCATTTTTTAACATATTTGCTATTTTCTTCTTCAAAAATTCCAAGTATCAGAATAAAGTTCTATAGGGATTTAATTTAATTGATTTTGTTTCACCAGTATCCACTGGTTGAAAATTGATAAAACATACACATATCGGGTACCTGATAAGTGTAAAAAAATATTTTCTACACTTATCGGATACCCAATATATGCCTGATATTAGGGACACACCATGTACATATCGGGTACCCGATATATATATGTTTTATCAATTTTCGACCAGTAATCTATTGTATACTGATAAAGGTTCATTTTTCCAAGTTCTAAAAGGCCTTTAGTTACAAGGTTCAGAAACTTTCAATAATTTCATAAACTTGTAACTTATATTGATTCCCTTCAAGTTTCTCTACATCTCCTCATACCAAATTACAACAGATATCTTGTATTTCATTTTGTGATATAATGGAAATAATCTTATGATCTTGTTGATATTTTTCACAAACTTCACATATATCCTAACTAGTCTCAAATATTCATTACATCAATAATAGGAGTTAGGTCCCGTTATCTTACATTTTTCTTGAGCACCTTTCTTTCTTTTAAACAGATCGAAACAATAGGAGAACTGGTCATACATTTCTCATGTGACAAGCTTCGAGTTATTGCACATTCTTTCAGAAGTAATTTTATATTTCATATAAGATTCTTGGTGCAGAAGTTCATATGTCAACCCTATGAAATTCACTTCTTCGTCATCTTCCGTGTCAGAATTATTTCTACTTTTTACATATTCTTCTTCACTATCATCATCAATTTTATTATTACTGACATAGTAGCTCTAGTATTTCTATAAGAAATTTGTACTGTTTGCTTGTCGTCCTTCAATATTAGTTTATACTCTTGGTAGTCTATTATAACATGAGCTTTTCTTAACTAATCTGTTTCAAGAATTAATGCGTAACCCGCTGCATCAATGACTTTTATATCAACAGCTACCACAATTTCTTCTTTATAAGTACTAATGTTATGATTCCCAAACTAGATCATCTTTCTCCATGTATACCAGTTATTTTTCTTCCAGACACTTTCTCAATTCTTCATCCTATAGATTCTATAAAATTTTTTGAAATGATACTAATAAATGACCTACTATCAAGAATTACTTCAACTTTTCATCTAGCTTATACTTGCACGTAAAATTATTTTGGGATCCCAAAATTACAATTTCGGAAAAAAAAATTAAAATAGTTTTTCATAGAAGATGAAATTATTTTACTTAAAACCAAAATTTTTTGACCACTCAGATTTATTTTTTGATTAAAGATACAAACTAGGTATTTTTTTTACTTCCATATATAGAATAGATTTTGCATAAATCTCAAAAAGTCGAAATACCTCAAAAATTCAAAATCAATTTTGGGAACATGTATAATTTATAATATTAATTAACAATTTTAAATGATACTTGTAAATTTCTTTATTCTTTCTCAAAATACCTGTTTCATTGATCACCCAAACTCAAAAAAAAAGTTATTATTTATTTTCTTTAAAATTTCTTCTGTCATTTTTTTTATAATCATTAAGAATTAGATATATATTATGATCCAAAAGTTCTTCTGAGGCTTTTTTAATAATGACCTGCATAATAAATAAATTTGAATAATTTTATTTTAAATACTACTGAAATATATAATAACCACAAATATTATATTAATTTAAATTTATTTATATCCAGAAATTCTTTATTAAATGAAAGTACAGATATTTTTTCTTTTACTGATTTTATATTTTCTTCAATTTTACATAATTTTTTTAATTGTCTATATTTATTTATTATAAAAGTTCTAATTTCATCATAATTCGATATAACAAAGCTAATAAAAATAGGTAACTTTTTAATTCAAGTTTTTTTGAATAAATATAAATATTATTAAAATTATATCATCATTTTTTACTTGCATAGTATATATAGAAAATAATAGTGCAATTGAATCATCACTATCAAAAGAGGAGTCAGAAGACTGTGAAATTAAGCGGGGGTACTTGTGGAGGATTTATTTGTGAAAGATTTACTTGCGAAGACTCTACTTCTGGAGATTTTTGAACTTGTAGAAAAAAGAGTATTTAAATTGCTCATCCTTTTAAATAATAAAACAAGATTTAATTTAATTATTTTACATTTTTATTATTTTTATTATACTACATACCTTAGTTATTAAAAAAGATTATTTAAAAAAAGGTATAAAAGATTAAAAATTATAAAAAAATTCATTTTGAAAGTACACTGGTCAAAAATTGATAAAACATATACATATTAGGTACCCGATATGTGCATGGTGTATCCCTAATATCGGACATATATCGGGTACCCGATAAGTGTAGAAAATATTTTTTTACACTTATCGAGTACCTGATATATATATAAAATATTT